GTCAGCTTTCCTGCTCCTCTGATGCTGCTTGGCCTGCCGTGTTCATCCAGCTCTACACCTTGTTATCAATAATAAGTTAAGCATGTGTACTGGGTAAGAAATAAAGTCATCTTTTGAGGTACTACATATCAGTCAGAGTGTTATTGACCCCCACTCAGCGTTATGGTGACAGGAAATTTAATTGAGGTGGACAGGAAATTTAATTGAGGTGGATAAGATGATAAAGGAGACTGATAAAGTATACATTGAGAGGATGTTTCCTCATATGGGGCAATCTTGAATGAGAGATCATAGTTATAGGATATGGGGTAGCAGTGATGAGGAGAAATTACTTCACAAAAGGGGTATGAAACAGTGGAATTCATTATCCCAGAGTGTGGTGGATGCAGGGACAATGAGTAAATTTAAGCAGGGTGATGGAAAGCAGGCAGAAAAGTGATGCTGAGGCTGAGATGAGATCAGCCATGATTATATGAAATAGCGGAGCAGGCTCAAGGGGCTGAATTGCCTACTGCAGCTCCTAGCTCTTATCTTATGATCTGGGTGCACATCTCCAAGTGATTAACTTGATGAATCAGTCTACATTGATTCATTTCGTGACAGAGTACTAAGGAACTCTCATATAACATAGCTTTAATCATTTCAAATAATTGTTAACAATTTGACAAAAAACAGGAATTCCATCGAGTCTTAGAGTAAATGGCTGTGCAGGAAACAGTGATGAATACACTGAATTTTCCTTTACATTGGCACCAACTAAATTAAACTCCATAAAACAATACTTGGCAACTTCCTCCTAATCATCTGGGGTGAGAACATAAACCACATCAAAAACATGAAACAGGTCATGAATGTATTAGATTAAGATTATGTAGCATCCCACTATGACAACAATGAAAATTGCTCTCTTTTAATATGTGAAAACAAAAGATGATATAACTACAAGTAGAATACGTTGATTCTGGAAGAATGGATAAATCAGGCTCAGACCAAAGAGAAAAAAAGTGACATAAATTCAGTAAGAATTGTCCCCTGGAAGCATTGTACAGCTATTTCCTTTCATTTTAGCGAGCTTCTGAATTGAAATAGGAGATTCAATGAGTTAACTTACTATATTAGTTCTCAACGCCTCCTCAACCCCAAAAAGTTACAGTAATATTCTTATATTAGGCCAAGGGTGCGGGTAATAATTCTATTAATGATCCATTTAAAATAAAAGGGTTACCATTTAGTTTTTAATCAGGAAACCTAGTCATCTCATAGGTTCTAATGAGGGATCGACTGAACTATTAGTTTCTTTAACATTTCTATTGAAGTTGAAGTAGTTTCCATGAACCAAGATCTGATAACAGAGCAGCAGAATACTAGCCAAACTTGAATACTAGCTTGTATTAACCTTTCTTCAATGGTACTGTTGGCAGAAAGATTTCCCACTGTGTTATAATTGATGGGTGTTAGATTTATGTTTTAAAAGTAATATTTGCAAGTGTTAAATCTTCAACACGAAATGTCCCTGGCAGCCCATGCCCCTGTCCTTTCCTGTTCAAGTATATTGAATGGTATTTGAATTATGTGACTGGGGTTATCACCCACAGGCTGGAGAACCACTGAGGTTCCCAGGTCATCTCATTTCAGGAAGATTTGATCAATTATGTGTCACTCATTCACTTAAATGCACTTTGGCTGGAGGACCCCACCGGAGGAAATCCCACACATCTCCCTCACTTTGAAAGTTGCCACTCAATAAGAGGCCATTAACTGTGCCTTGCTTGGTAGCACCAAGAAGCAGACATTGCACCCACCAGAGGCCCGAGATCACCCAGGAATCCAGGCCACAGAGGGGTTGTGTCCTGCCTGAACTGGGGGCTGGCAGCAAGAGCAGGATGGTTTCTGTAGTGGTTGTAATAAGGTCAGCCAGGTGGACATCACAGAATGAGTTCCCTGATTGGACAAGATTAATAGCCACAATCTGGGAGACCTGGTTGACAGATTATAAACAGGAGTGTCAGAGGTTCTGTTTTCTCTGAGAATTGACTCTGATGAGCTGTATCAGTGTCCAGTACTCTCCACGTGTAAATAAAGGGTGACTTGGTGATGGGATGCCAGCCTCTCTAGAGTTATTTCAGCTTCAAATGGGCCCTCACCTTCTCCAACTTGATCCCTCAATCAGGTACTGAATAGTTTTTAAACAATGGAAACTGGGAGCATCGCTCCCCAGAGACATCTAATAACCTCATAAGCTTTGATTTTCAGGTTTCTCACATGCTGAGTTCCCTTGCCCGCCACTGGATGCTAACATAACAAGGCCCTAAAGTGGCCATTAATTGCCTCAATTGGCATTAGGGCAAAAAAGATATCCATGAGGATCTTTTTCCACCACCAATCCTCCTTGCTATTAACTCATCTTCGGGGATGACATTACATATCATCCATCCATTGTTCTTCAACCAGCCACTTCTTCCCTTCCTCATTTCTTAGTTATTAGATTTCTTTTATTATCCTGCCCTGATGAAGAACATCTCCAAGATCCGTCACTTTCTCTTAGAGCAAGAACTGTTTTTCATTGATGGTTTTTGATATATTGATAGTCCGACTCTTGATACATAGAAGAAAATAATTCACTTTCTGACTTTTTCTTATTTATACATGTTTGTGACACCTTTCTTATTTTTAAACAAAGTTTAGTGTGTACACACAATCTTTAAATAATAATATTAGAATAGCCTCAATAATCTGCTGAGGTTTGAGAAAAAATCTGTCATGGCAAAGACAGAAAAGCAAAGGAAGTTCTATAAATCCTTCAAAACATAACATGTTTTGAGCAAAAGCTCAGGATGTTACATTCACCAATACTTACTTAAGTCTTCATTGCTCAACATAACAGTATTAATTTTTGTCATACTTCAGGATAATAAAGTTAACCTGAAAACAGGAAATAATGGATGTTTTCCCCTACAACTGTTTAGCATAACTCATGACATTGTGCTCAGATACTCAGGAACTTCACAAAGCAAACTGATAGTGTAATTAATAGTGCAAATAATAAATGTGCTTTACCATAGCAACAGTGAATCCAATTAGTGTCAGAAGAAAGAAAGGCACTAGAACAAATCCCGCAACTGCATTACTTTTGTCAACAGGAGGCACGGTCGTTGAAGAGTTATTCATTGCCAAATGTGTCTTGTAATAGAATAATACTCATCTGCAGTAGAAACATGTGACTTCATTCACAAAATGTTTGAAAACAGAAAACTCAGTCTAACTGGAATGGTGGACCTTTTGGCTTCACTTCGATGATGCATCAAAACCCACAGCTAAGTCAATCATTCTCACTAGTCTTCAGTTCTGTGTTTTTAGGCACATTTGGAAGTTTCGCACCGGTGTGTCTAAAAGACAAAGCAGGGGAAAAAATGTTAGGGATTACCGTCAATATTCATAAGCAAGTGACCACAACTTGAAACATGGCAGCATAGAACCTATGTAATAGGGTTAACTCTGTTGCAGCAAAGGCAGTTTGAAGGGAAACATTAAACTTTTAGTTACCAGTGCCTTCCCTCTAACACAGGTGAATATTAAGATCCAGAATGTGGCACATCAAATAACGTGTTAAGGATGAACAAAAATCGATGATGTGTAAAATACATTTTGTTACTCTTAACTCCAGCAGCTGGTTAACAATGTCAACAACAGTATATGTTTGTACAGGTATCTCAGATAATGCATAAACTGCCTTCTGGTATTTTAGCATACAGATTTATAGACAACGTGCACTGAATCAGGAGAGATTTAGGAAGGGTTAAGGAAGACAGGTTAATGATTTGGGATTGAGTGACAAGGAGGTGGAGGAAACTGGAAAGCCACAAAAATACAGCATGGAAACAGATCCTTTGGTCCAACTTGTTCATGCCAACCAGATATCATTTGCCAGCATTTGGTCTATATCCCTCTAAATTTTTGTTATTCATGTACTTATCCAGATGCCTTCTAAATATGATAATTGTGCAGCCTCCACCACTTCTTCTGGCAACTCATTCCATATATGCACCAAAAAATGAAGAAGTTGACCCTTAGGTCCCTTTAATATTTTTTCCCTCTCATCTTAAACCTATGCCCTCTAGTTTTGGGCTCCCCTATCCTGGAAAAAACACCTTGACTATCCAGCCGATCCATAAACCTCTGTAAGATCACCCTTCAGCCTCCAGGGGACATAGCCCTAACCTATTCAGCCTCTCGCTATAGCTCAATCCCTCTAACCCCGGCGACATCCTTGTAAATCTTTTCTGCACCATTTCAAGTTTAACAACATCTTTCCTATAGCAGGGAGACCAGAATTGAACACAGCATTCCAAAAGTGGTCTAACCAATGTCCTGTACAGCTGCAACATGACCTCCCAAATCCTACACTCAATGCACTGACTAATAGAGGCAAGTGTACCAAATGCCTTCTTCACTACCCTGTCTACCTGTGACTCCACCTTCAAGGAATTATGAACCTGCACCCCAAGGTCTCTTTGTTCGGCGACACTCCCCAGGACGCCAAGTCCTTCCCTGATTTGCCTTAACAAGGGTAGACGGAAATATGGATTTGAGGCAATCAAACCAGCATTACTGAATGGCAAAGCTGGGCCATGGGACTGAATGGCTTACTCCTGCTCCTAATTCATCTCTTCTTCACTTACTGCTTGTTCATAAAACCTTTAATTTAAAATCATGTTAAAATTCCTTCATGGCCTCATTCTTCACTGTTTCTGTAATTTCCTCTAGTTCTAAACCCTGTCCATGAACTTTGTTCATCTGATTTCCTCCTTTGCACCATTACTGATAGCTGTGTAGTTTACATTCTTCTGTTTATTTCCTTTTGGTTCATGATCCACTTCATTTTGTTAAAACCTCTAAAATGTTTCAGGATGTTATTCTGTCAAGGTGCAACATAATAGCAAGTTACTGTAATTGGCATGACTTCAACTGCTCTGCACAGTTATCATTGGCCACATCATCAATATCTTTCAGGAATTTACTGGAACAAGCTACACAACTTCCTGCACTCTTGACAAACAACATTGCTCAAATTTCATCATACAGTGGGAAAATGTCCTAAGAAGTGCCTTCCTTTAAAGCCATTTAAGTATAGTAACGAGCGAAAGGAAACATGTGGTTTATTAAATTAGATCTATCAGAAGTGAGAGACAGCAGCACATTTTTCTGTACCTGAATTACTCAAAAGCTTTTAATGATGCTTAGATGTTTATGGAAAATGGATAATGTTTACAACACTTGAACCCAAATTCTGTGATCAGTAACTTGGGGGAAAATCAGAAATGTTGCCAGTACACATATAAAGAGGAAGCCAACATCATTTTAAGTGATGGAAAGCAGCAGCAAATGCATTGGGTGGAGTTAATTTGGTATTTTTCAGTATCTGGCACATAATTTGAATATACAATTTGTTTTGTACGCATGAGCCTCTAAACTAAATGTGACTGCCTGATTCCTTTATATTTGTAATTGGTTGGTCCTATGAGTAATTGTGGCATTCACCTAGCAGCTCATGCATAGATGAATTCAAGCTTTGTGACAGTAACAGCGCATGCCCTTAAGCCTATTGTGGCCAGCTCAGTGACTGGCCCCTCTGCATGTACAGAGATTGGCTGCCATTTTGGCATATTAAGACATTCCTCTGAATTAGAAATCCTTCCAGCATGGCATTTTCTGAGAATCTGGGGCCACTGTGAGAAAAAGCAAGCAATTGTGCATCTCCTTAAGCAATCAGATTGATGAATCCCTACTGAGACTTGCAGAATCCTAACTAGGAAGTTTAAGCCAGACAAAGTTAGTTCAGTACCAAATCAAACACGCAAAGTGTTACAAAAGAGAGATGAAAGAACCAGATAGAATTATGTTTTTAAAAAATTACAAATTTAATGTTTTTCAATTTGCCCAACAATAGCTAAAATTGAAGGAATTAGACTTAACATTTCAAAAAAGTTAATCTTCAGTGCAACAGAGGATGTCTTTTAGTAATCATCATGTCATTAAAATGTACTTAGACAGGAATGGACAAGACCAAAGCTTTTCTGTATTTACTGAACATCTATTGTCCAACTGCAGCAACTTCACACTTCTTACACATTTGAAGGCAAAGGGCTGAATTTTCATGATGGGTTTGGGAAATGCAAATCAGGTCATTCCCCACTTTGGAGATCCAGCACATTACCTCTGCCCATGCCGTGGAGAGCCAGATGGACAGAATATAGGTCTTCTGAACCGCAAGACAGTGTCCCCCCTAATTCCACAATGCTCCCTCATATTTTCTAGGCTTCCTTGTACACTCTGCCCCTTAAAAAGCTGCACAGCCACTCACTCAGTGTCTAGAGTGTACAGTTCTCTGGAAACATGTAATAGCAAGAATCCTTTGAAACGGATAGTAAAAATGTATCACTGTAACAATCTAGTGTGCTGTGCATTTTTATTATTTGCTGGATTTAACATCTTATTTCTTGTCTTTTATCTCTGGCACTCTAGTAAGGGAAATAAAATGTTTATCAGGACAGATACTAAGATTTCTATACCCGTCAAGCAGATTATCTCTTATTCTTGTAAACACCAGACAATATAGACCCATAATACTCAAATTGTCCTCACTTGAACCCTCTCATCCCAGGAATCAACTAAATAATAGGTATTGTCATTAGATGGACTTAACTGGAATACTGTCCAATTTCCTCACTGTTGGCCATGACTTCATTTTTCAGAACTGATCAACAAAGCATTACAAAACCTCGTTCCAAAAATCATTTTCATCCTCATTAAGTCATGGCATGAGGCAGTCTATGGTGCCTGCCTTGCACAAACCTCCTATAGTATAGTAACCAGCTGGACCAAGGAACCCACCCAGTTCCCTCTCAGTCTTAGGTCAGGGCCGCTTCTATACTGCTTGGATTTGCTCATTGTCAGGAATGCACAAGGTACTGTATTTGGTCTGGAAAAGTTGGCACTTGTGGTTTGACTTTCAAGTTAAACTTTGATTAGCTGACTAAGATGGGGTCTAGCCTTTCGAGGGTCTCCTTGATCAATCAAGCCAAAGGTGAGTATATGATCCAGATGCAGTACAGGGACTAGAAATTAAAATTTTCAAAAGCTTTATCAATCAAATGCATGAAGATTGCAAGGGCATTACAAATACTCAAGGATGCGGTTTGTACTTTGTAAAGTCCCTTAGTGCCCATTAGGAATGCCATCTTTTCAATACCTTGCCCGGCAATAGGTTGCTAGTTATAATCAGGGGACAAAAATCAGAAGAAACACACTGCATCTTTCAGAACGTGTAAAACTTCTTCAATCTTTGGTAGAGGGTAAGCACCCTTAAGAATTGTTGTGTGTCTCCGTTTTTCCAACTTTCTTCCTCATGAGTACTATGGGGGAGGTGCATAGACTTGACAACTCTTTGATGATATTTCACTCCGAAGACTTCTGCAGGTATCCCAGACTCCCTCCCACTGATGCGATGGAATCAATGGTAAGGAATCTTTACTGGATGGTCATCCTTAGTTACAACGGCCAATGTTATCATCATCTTTACTGAATGTTGTCCTGTACTTGTGAAAAGTAGAAATAAGTTATTTTCTCTAGGCCCTTCTTGACTTGCTAATGTCCACTTTAGAAATGGGATTAGAGATGTCTTCTCCAATCAGTCCATGCTCCAGGGCAGCATTTGGTTCCAGGACACCTCTGGGTGTTCTAGGGTGAGATTAAACATCCTTGTCATTGACATTGGTAACCTGCATGGGTACCTTACCCTTTTCTCCCAGTGATGAGGGAGGCTTCCAGGTTACACCAAGGGACAACTTTGCTTTATGTGTCACATGATGTGACACAAGGCCTTATGTTGACCAGTTGAAAACATCTGATGTGAGCCATTAAGAGCAGTGAAGGCATGCACAAGTAAAATAACAGCCCAATTCCCTGCTACTTGAATGGTTCTAAGGTCCTGTACACACCAATACACCTTGAGCATGTAGAACAATGTTAAAACACTCTTGATCCCCATTTGGGCCTCAATGTGCACCTCATAGCAGTCACCACACATTTCCAAGAACATTCATATCTCTACATGTTTGACCTTAACCACCATAGTTTATTCATAACTTCCTTAATTCCAGTGGTGCATCAATCAGATGATGAACTAGCAGAAACCCTAGCTAATGATAATGATTAATAAAGGATGGCTGACCCTTGTGATGCAAAGATCTGGATGAGGGAATGGATGATTATTTCACACATTTCATAAGATGCTCTCAGAAAAACTGGCAAAGGTTGATACCTCCAGTCATGTCAAGTATGGAAGAAGTTTCCACTTTGCAAGTCTCATGCTTACCATAGAATAAGT